TCTACTTCTTGAACCTCCGTGCAAAAATGGAGTTCGGTGCTTTGCTCGCACAAACCCCGGACACGGTTGAACGACAATTACTTCTATCTTGTCGCCAGCGCCGCGCCGGATTAGTGAACAGCAGTCTACCGGCCTGATGACGACGATGGTGTCTTGTCTTTATCGTCAGGGGGTACCGTGTCTGCTAATCGACGCGAGGAGGAGATTCCGGAGGATTGGGCTGGTCTCGTTGTTGAGCTTTAGTCCCGGGAGCAAGAATGCTTTCAGGCGGCAGGATATCTTGAGGGTTCCCCAACGGGAAAAATTAATGGGCCAAAGATCCAAGCTGGCTTGATGATGATGCTAAGGAGCGAGATTTTGAACTTTGTTCGATCTTATGGTTCTTCAAGGAGAGAGTCACCGGTACCAGATATCGGTGATTGGCACTCTGGTAACATACTTGGAAATGAACGAGGTTTGGAGAGAAATGAAAGAGGTTGTGGCTTGTTTTGTAGATTTATGTATCCATCTTATGTGAAAAGGAAAAGGAAAAGAAGAAGAAGAAGAAGAAGAAGAAGAGCACAATCAGGCTTCATCGACCCTAAAGGGTGCCCCCCCACCGCAATCCTACAAGCGTTCTTCTATAAAACATATATTAACCCTTCTTCCGAGAGACACGTGGTCGTAGACAAGAGATGCAATCACCACAATCAACCAACCAACCAGCAACCCGTGAGACCAGCGATCCAGCTAGATAAGGGAAAGATACACCGACAGGCCCTAAGACTGGGGATACTGAAACCAATCCAAACAGCCAGCCCAGCATCCCCATGCTTAAAACCAGATATCACAATTCCTTCTAAGTTCTCACCGGGCGGCGGGACCGGTGAGTGCGCGTCCCTATTGCACCCGCTTCCCTTCCCTTCCCTTCCCTTCCCGATGGCACTCACCTTCCCCACCACACCCCACACCCCAGCGCCTACAGTGTGGGAGGTATTACAGAATTTTTGAAGCTCGCCAATCAAACCAAGGCACGCTCAGAGCAGGAGGAGCAAAAAACCCACTTTGAAAAATCACCCACACGCGCGCGTGTCCTGACTTCTCTGGCTTCCAGGATCGCTTACGAGGTGAGGCGACCCGGTTAGCGCATAGCATAGCGCCCTTCGCTTCGGGGGCATCCAACGGGTTTCAACATCTCCTGCTCTTGCTGCTGCTGCTGCTGCTGATGATGATGATCTCAAGCAGCGTCGTCCTGTATTGGGGAACCCTTCTGCTCCATATTGCCTGGTTTTGCTATATGTGCATGGTTCGATTATGCCAGGGGGTAAGGGGGGTTTCGGGGCGGTAATGGTGAAGGATTCGACACCGTTCCCCTGTCGTTGTCCACTTTCGAGTCCTCCTGGAGAGGGCTGGAATGGGAAAGGGGGAATCTGCACTTGGAAGCCTTGAAGTCCCTGCTCTTGGTGAGGGACATTGCTCGGGCTTGTGATGTACCGAGCCTCTTTCATGTCCGGAAAGAAATATCTTGTGGATTACCCCCGGTGGGACAGGGACTGGGGTCGATTGAAGTGATCGAGTGGCTGGGTGATGTATCCATATTGGTGGCAGATCAGTTGAGCGATGCGACCACCGTTTTGTAAGAACTTGGTTGATGTGATAAGAGGCCTGCTCGCTGTAGCTCTTCTTCAGCTTCTTTTGGGATGATTGTTTGCTTGTTCTGTTCGTGGTCATCCGATTCGACTTTAGCTATACCTATAGATTCATCGACCTTCGAAGGGGGCCTGAAAGTGACTATGTATACATCGTAAGAAGTGCTCAGATGCTAAACTTCTAAGCCGTAGGTGGGTGTACGCAACAACGTATTGAGGGCCATGGCATGAAGAGAGCGATCTTGATGTTCGAAACCAGAGATTCGGACAGGTCCACCTACAGATAGCGATTTTCTTCGATTGATACATACTGAAGGATGCTCCGCCAGCCAGGATTTGCAGCCAGGTCACAGGTAGACACTAATCTGTTGCTGTCGAGATGGTGTAGTAGCTGTGGTCAACATCCCCGTCATCTATGGCCAAGTCGATCGCACTCTCACCCCTGATAGATTTGCCGAACGCCCTTGGAACCTGGGGAAAGTAATAAAGTCAACAGCGTATATAGATAGGTACGTATGATAAATGTTTTTCTGGAGAAGCCGACCCGGGAGCTCAGGCGCCAACAATACATCTTGTTGGCACGAGTGGAGTTGACTGTTGAATAGTCTGCCAAGGGGTTTGCTGACAAGCTTCCCATACGAAGCACCGCAAGAAGGGTGTTAAGGTCACGAGACAGGCGAGACAGTGTATTTGCTTTCAAGTCTCCCATTGCTTCTTTGTTGCACATGGTCAACAAATCCTGGGCTCATGGCAGAAAATTGTGGCTGATAGCAGCTCAAACTGTGTTACTCAAGCGGGCACGATCCATTGATGGACATCGGGTTATCCTGACAATCAGGTGGCAAGGGCCTGGTCTCTGATCAGCCTCAACACGACGAGAGCCGTTAAGGAAAGGGTTTGATTGACACCCGGTCTTACCAGTTCCTATGTCTTATGGTACCATGGTTCGAGAGAGTCAAGACGAAAAAGACGGCAGATGGGGCGCCTGGGAAATATTTGATCCAAAGTTTGGAGGAGCATAGAAACGCGTTGGCTAAGCCGTACCTCTGAGCTAGTAGAGTAGTGAATGTGCTATAGGGAAGAAGTTCGGCAGTTGTACGTTCTCGCAGGTATGGAACCGTCTGTCCAAGGTGTGTTTGCGCTTGTCAGTTGTGATGGAATCGTTACTAAAGTAAGAAAATCGTAGGTAGGGCAGCTCGACGTCGTGGAAAGAATTCGAAAAGTCAGAAGACGTCACGATAGTTCCCGAGGTAGTCCATCTATACATGACAGCCAGCAGGAGTCAGTAGGGTAGAAATAAAAGGAGGCAACCGATGGTAACAGGGGATACCTGTCTGCCCAATAATGTCTTGTGGAAAGCCACATAATGTGAAGCGTCTCGCAACTTGGTGGAAAACTTCTTGGTTTCGGTACACAGCATATGCATTGTGTATCATTTTGTCCAGGGTTCGAAGCTATGACTTAGGTCTTTATGCTCTTGGAGAACGTCCCGCAAGACGTTTTCCCGAGGAGTTGTGTATTTGGACCCGTGATGCTGCCTAATTCGCTTCACATGTAGAGCTTTGTGCACCTTGGGTAATGCATCTAGTCATGCAGAATGAAAAATGCCAATGTAACAACGCACACATGTCGTTCAGCACACATGTCGTTCAGGGGTGCTGGGAGTGCATTTTTGGAATTGTTGTGGAGGAATGCGGCTTTTCGAAACCTCATCAAGGGGCAAGGCTGCGTTCAATGCAACGTGCAAGAAACGATGACGTTCGTATCTTGCTCATCCGAGTTCGAATAAAGGGCTTGTCATCGTATGCTGATGAACTGCCCGGGGTACTTTATTGATATTCTCTACATAGTGAGGGTTCAGCGGCTGGGAGAGGGAAATGACAATTTGTGATATGGTTGCTGGAGAGGGATACTGCTCAACTCGTTGAAAGTATGTTCGAATCAGTTTTGCATGAGGTCGACGAAGGCGAACGGCTTTGAATGGACTGATTCTTGCGGTCTCTGCAAGCAAGAACCGCGTGGAGAGAGCCAAAGATATTGTGCGTGCGGCTGTACTTGCCTCTCTACAGGTAACGAGGCTGGCTACCTGTCCAGCTCTAAGACTGTCTGAGCAGGAAGACCTCTCACCGCCAAAGGGGAGGGGCGCCTGGCACTTTCGGGCTTTGACGAGAGGGTATGCATAATCGGACGACTTCCTCTCAACTCCGATCGATGCGTGTCGCCCACCTGCTCCATTCTTGGGACATCCTCATCCATGACACAGTGTTTTAGCGCCTGGCCAAAGGCCATAGGCCATAAACCTACTTTTACGCAGCAAGTATGGAATGAGCCAAGAGCGGACAGCATCCCCGGGTGGGTGGGATAGTGACAGGATTAACCAAGCAGTACTACTGCTACTGCCAGTAAACCCCGCCAATAAACCCCGTGGAGATGCCGATCGGTAAGGCAACGACTATCGGACGGGGAGGGCAACGGCCAGGGGTCTCAAGTGGCGAAAGTCAATTAGAAGCCAGCGTTCCTGTGGAAGACCGGGGTTGTATTATCTCCGCTCTTGGTGCCATGATTCCTTCGCGGCCGACCTTGCCATGACCTCTAACCTCTAGTTATTTAGTGAGTCAGCATTCTCTTTTCAATCCCGTGTGGTCTACGCGAGCACAGACCCTTCGGTCTAGACCTCGGGTCTGGCCAGAGGTCTCTCTGGTACCAGAGAACGAAGCGGTAGCGGGATCCGGAGGGGACCGATCAAGGATATATGCAAGTCGCACCCGTAACCGCAATCAGACTTCCGCGACCGTCGCACAATCAGCCACGCCATGACGCTTGATTGGTGCTGAGAGGCACGTCCAGATGCCAGATGCCAGAGACAGGCAAGGGTGATAGGAAATTGGTTGTTAGTAGACTCTCTATCCTGCGTGGGATCACCTAGCGGCAGGTCACCTGACCAATTGCAGCCCTGCATCACGTAAATTCACACCATGCACACTCCGTCCGAGGAGACCAAGACAGACTTCGAGCAGGAAGGATGATTGCAGCTGAGATGATCCTTGTAATCTTCATGCCTCAGCCCCACAGCTAACAGATATCGAAAACGAGCAGGAAGTACAGCTAGTGACTTTAATGGTGGGCAGCAGAGTCGGCCACCGTCAAGGACTTCCTTCGCAGAGATGTCACAGGGTTGAATAGAAAAGAAGGGGAGAAGTGCCAGAGGCTTTTTATCGGTCTGAAAAGGCTGCGTGATAGTCCAGTTTCTCCAGTTTGTCCGGTTTCAAGATTAGAAATCGAAGCTGTGGCGACACGTAGAAAGTATTCTCAGGCGAGGCGGAGGGGCGAGCATCGTAGACAAAGACAGCTCGCGATCCGGAATGAGCATCTCTACATGATTTGGTCCTGTGTGAGGCCGCCACTCGCTTCGGTGCCCTCCATGGCGTCGCCACCACCAATATTGGTATACTTGACATAGGTCAAGCCGAGGGGACGACCACCGTATTGGTAGCCAGTGAATTTGGCTGTGTTCTTTGTAAGTACAGAGCCGTCTTCCACATCCTGAGGGCCAACTTACAGATTGCGGTCTCAGCATTGTCGGCAGAGTCAAACTCGACGACACCGGTGCCACGCGATCGACCATTCGGCTCGTATTGGATCTCCGCTCGCTCGACCTTGCCAATGGTGGTGAAGAGCTCGACGAGATCCTCGTTACTGGTAGACCAGGGCAACTGCGTCCATCTTGTCAGCACGGCCCAGTAGATCCGATGGCGGGTGGCATGATACTCACGTTCCGGACATAGATGATTGGACCACGTTCGCCGCCAGAGGTTGCGAAGTCGGTAAACGGATTGGGAGGGTTGGACGCCTCGGCTGTGTAGCCAGCTCCCGTTCCAGCTCCCATTGCCGGGGCGGCCCCATAGCCACCTCCTCCGTACCCCCCACGACCGCCAAAGCCCCCGCCATACCCTCCCCTGCCAGCGAAGCCTCCACGCGCACCAAAGCCGCCGCGACCACTAAAGCCTCCCCCGTATCCACCTCGGCTGCCAAAGCTACCGCCCATTGAGTTTGCGAAGCGATCCTCACGTACCTCCAGAGCTCGTCCCTGCCAGTCATAACCGTTGAATTGTTGTATTGCGTTTCGCGCGTCGTTTGGTGTTTCGAACGCAACGATGCCTATCCCCTTCGGACGGCCGGTGGGGTCGAGGTGAACGTCAGCACGAATGACACCACCTTCTTGCGCTGTCGTAAGGCCATTGTCAATTACTGCGCTGTATAGTGCTCCCACGTGATTGGAGGCATGTCTCGCACTTACCTGCTTGGCGAAACAAGTCCTTCAGGTCCTGCCAGCCAACGTTGTAGGGAAGCTAGAACATCAAGTGTCAATATGGAGTGCGGCAGAGGAATGGACGAGATGAAAGGAAACAAACGTTGGAGACGTAGATCTGACGGCCACCACCACCTGTAGTGGCACCACCTGCTCCATAACCACCTCCGTAACCTCCGCGAGGACCACCACCACCACCCCCACCACCACCACCATAATCGCCACGAGAGGCTGGTCCCGTGAAGCGCGGTTCGGCCTCGCGATCCTATTCGCGGAAATGTGTCAGCAGTATCACAAAAGATTGAGGTGGAGACTGTCGAGCGCGAGTGACGTAGGACGGGGGGCAGATGCGTACCTCGCGGACGTAGACTAGACGGCCCATGAGATTCTGATTGCTGAGCGTCGTGACAGCTTGTTGGGCTTGGTCCCTTGTTGCGTATTCCACAATCCTCCAAGAATGTTAGTCGGTCTTATAATCATCAGGCGCATTGAGCTTACCCGCATCCCTACAATAACCCGCGGACCAGGTCCAATCCGTCAATCCAAACGTCCATCAAATAACCAAAGAAAAACCGGAAAAAGACCAGCCACATCACACGTTGGCGCCCACCTTCGACATTCCATTTGGAAGAAGTAAGACATCGGCAAAGAGGACCTCTCCAGCTGTACAGAAGAATGGTGTCAGCCAACTTTCAGAAGATCCTCCGTTCAACTTTGTCACTGACCCTGTCTCATGAAATCTTTAAGGTGATGCCACTTGACATCGTAAGCCAGGTTGCCAACGTAGACGCGGCGATCTTGCTGAGATGAGTCTCGAAGTGACTGCATCATTTGTTCTTTGGCGGCAGCACGCTCTTCAAAGCTTCTCTGTGGGGGCGCGCCACCACGATGACCAGACCCTGAGTATCCTCCAGGTGCACCTGTTGCACTATTCATGGGAGAACGAGATCGACGGTCACTTCGACGGTAGTCGTCGCGGCTTCGAGAGCGGCTGCGAGGCGAATAAGACCGGCGGCTGCGACGTGGACTGCGGGAGCGGCGACGCGGTGAGCGCGATCTCTCTCGCTGAAAATGATTAGCCCGTAAAGCGAACGAAGGCATCTCGAGACTCGAATCTTGATGGAAACTAAGCTAGAGGGAAGTGGGGGAATGGTGAGCCAAAAATATTTGGTTTTACAATATTTCGGTGCGTTTTGTTGAGTGACAGAAAAATCAGCGTCTGTCATCAGCGGGCACTTGCGGCAGCCACTACCCGTCTGCCCTATAAGGCATGCCGAGTATCAAGTTTTGAATAACGCCAATGATGTGTTCGTCAAACATGCGCACCGCCGGGGTCCAGGGCGGCGTGTGAGAGTGCTTGGGATGAGATCTAAAACTTACTTCACGTGGTCGGTAGGAGTCAGCTGAGTCTAGACGAGCATACACAAATAAGCATGAATCCAAAAAAAAGGTGAAAGAAGTTAAAGTAGAGCAGACTGAGAAGATCGAGGAGGTGTCAGACGGTGAAGCAGCAATTCAAGCAGAAGATGGGGGGGGGGATCAGGAATAGGCCTGAGGGACGTACCCATGGTTGCTTCTGGTTCGATTGCCGAGGGTACGTGCGGTCTGAACTACCAACGCTGTCAGTTTTTCACTCGAAAGGCTGCACGAAGGTGGCAGAGGGAAGGACTAACAAGGATGCTGGTGTGTGGAACAATGGTTTACTGCTAAATGGGTTGGGAAGGGGGGGCGAAGATTTGCTCGCAGCTTCTCAACCACTCAGGGAGCAGGGTACTGGAACTTGGGCACAGTAGTGGACTGCAGTATCTCTCCACGAGCCTCAAATCTGTTTACGTCAGCTCTGACCTTGATACAGTGCGCCGCGTGGGCTTTCTCTCGTCTCCAGGCTTGGCCGCTGCGCCGAAATTTGCGGCAGGGTCAAGCTCTTCTTAAAAGCCCAGGGCGGGAGAGGTGTACGGTAGCGGTTGGTACGCACGGGGGAGAGTGTAGGCGCAGATGCGACGGTAACGTCCAAATGTCTGGAGGAACAAGAGAAAGAATTGCCTTGAGCTGCCTTGTGAAGTCTGCGCGTGAAGTTCCGCGATTGGTCTGCGGGAGAGGAAAACGGTCAGCGATCTTCAGCAGCCAAGGCACAGCACCATGATTGGAGTGCAGCAACTTGACATCAAATCGTGTTCCACACAAGCCTAGAAGCTGTCCACTCACCAGCTGGGCAACCAATTCGGAGAGCGAATTTGGAGCTGATTGATGCTGGCCTGATATTTGCTCAGCTACGGCGGTGGAGGCAGAGGCCAATCAAGGAGGCAGGCTCAGGTGTCCTACAACGATTTAGTCTTCGTAGCCCTGCCAGGCAAGATGAGTGGCGAAGCGAAACTTCTAACAACAAGCGCAAAGGATTTTGGTGCGAGATGGGGGTCGAGCACGCACACACAGAGCACACACGGTGGAGGTTCAAGAGAGGAACTTTTGCGGGTGGCACGACTGAGATTGCCCTAAAGATGCAGCTAGACTGATCTTAGTCGGACCACACAAAACTCAAACCCACCAAATTTGAACAAGCTCAACCCCCCGAGATCGATGAGGAGCCTGTTCTCGCCTTCAATTGGTTTGCGTTAGTATGATGGAGCTGCATTGGGAGGATGTGATTGTGCCTAGCCAGGACAAGACTTGTGCTATGTACCACGTAGTAGGTTTCGTGATACTACAGATCCCCTTGACACCTTGACACCAATTTAGCAATTTAGCACCGGACATGCTCCGCTAAGTTTTTCACGCTCTACTACTGCAGCCAGAGGCGACAAACCATCGAATATTCGGTGTGCCAATCCGAATACGGGTTCATTCAACTGTGAGGAGTATTGCCCGTCGTGACGGATAACGATATATCCAATACACGGTCTCCTGTCGTCGCATAGTGCATTAGGTTTCCCAACGTTGTGGGGTGGAGAGTGCTCCCAACCAAGTTGTGGCAACTCTCTTCGAGAAAACGTCTGCCAGACTGACCAAGTTAGGGCATTTTCCGGTATTGACGCCAATGCTGGGGAACGAACAGGAAGAATATGCCAGGACTGCCAGATGGAGTAAGCAGTAAGTCCAGATGGTTAATGGCGTATATGAAGCGCTACCAGGGTGGCTATCCTCGACCATACTCCCGCCTGTTGCGCGATTTAGCAGTCCAGCATAAGCATCAGAATAGTCCCCGGGCTTACATCCGATGTCACTTGCCTTTGCAGACTGTCAGATTAGTGGGAATATGATTCCTATACCACTCCTTTGGAATCTGCTATCAATTGTGGTTGGCACAACTTGAATTGGCAAATCCTGGTCACCATCGTCGGCAACCTGCCGATTAGCGATGGATGATATTCGCATGCCTGTAATAGATCACAGCATTCACTCTTATACTTACGAGAACTATCCATTTATGCCTCACAATGCTTCGGGACACATGAATCCCCGTCTCGTCAACCTACACCCACTGCTTCATCACGAGACGTAGTTATCTGATCCCTACTGAGTGGGGATCTTGTTGTATTGCGATAGCAACTGGAATTCTTCAGTAGTAAATCCTTACTTCTCCACAGACATTGTTGTACGGAATGCTAGCAAATACCCATGAAGCAGAGTAGTACTGGTAACTCGTACTGAGTTCGGTACTAACTATGTACTTTGGACCCTGCTGCAGAGCCCGGGTACGGGGACCAACGGAATCGGCTGCTTAGTGCATTTCGGTGGAGACTAGCTGACCAAAATACTAACTTACTTAGTGTGAGTTATGCTCCCGGTGTTGTCACTCAGTGCTCAAGACCTATGCCAGAAGCGTACGTGGAGAATCTCTGCTGTGGGCCAACACCGGAACAAACTAAACAAACTTTGGACATGCACTACTCACCTTGGGTATCTGAGTCTTTGGCACTCCGTAAAGGCGCGAACACTGGTCTATTATAGATATGTACGGAGTAGGAGTTATATCTGTCGCTGCGCATTACTCGACCAATTTAACCTTAATTGCGCAAGTCGGCAACCGAACCAGCATAACGTCGTACTACTAGGACTAACCATGGTAGCTTCATGTCGATCGACAGTTCTGGATCATGGCAGCCAAGAGGCCTTGGTGGTTGAGGCTCTGCGGCTGGGCACGTGCCAGCAATCTTTGCACTACTAGTACCACGTAAGTTTGCCGCAGGGAACCGGATTTCGAGTGATTGGCCGCTTGAAGACATCGAAACCAAGTAACTCCAACATCGGTGACATGAGGTCTTCAGTACCCTTCTATAGGCTAATCTGGCGACCTGTCTACCCACCATGCACAATACGACGAGGGCATTCCTACCATTCGGAGAACCATCCTCAGCCCCACCCCTTTCCAGATGCCCAGGAACAGATTCTGTCTTCGGCCATGCGCCATGTTCCCACTCATGGTTTCTCCATGAGAGCATTGACCGAAGGAGCCAAGGAGTCTGGATATCTTGAAGTTTCGGTTCAGCTACTCCCTCGGGGTGTCTTCGATCTTATCAATTATCACTTGGTCACCCAAAGGCTTGCATTGAAAGATCGAGTACAATTTCCAAAGGACTCGAAGCTTGGAGCAGGTGAGAAAGTCAGGACCCTAACGCTTGAGAGACTGCGAGCCAATCAAGATATCATTCATCAATGGCAAGGAGTATGGTTATTCAATCTTCTCATCTGGCTGCAGGCTTGCTAACAGTTAAGTCTGCAGGCCCTTGGCCAAATGTCCCTACTCGGTAATATACCAGCTTCTCTCAAAGAACTCCATATCCTTTCTGACGAAATCTGGTATCTTTCTGGCGATACCAGCGTGGACACCTCTTGGTACACAAAGAGAGCTTCTCTGGCTGCATTGTATGCCAGCTCAGAACTCTTCATGACGGCAGATGCATCCAAGGACTTCGCAGCTACAGCAGAGTTCGTAGATCGAAGACTGGAGGATTTCCAAAAGGTTGGCAAGACGGTCGGTGGCTTGGGTCAGTTTGTTGGATTTTGGGCCGGCAACACGATCCATCTGGCTAGATCATGGGGCATGAGGGTGTAGATATCCCTAATCAGCCCATGGATGAGGCTGGATCACCTTGCGAACAATATAGGGCTCGTCTTTGGGCAATTCGGGATGGGGATGCAATCCCGTCTCAACAGAAATCCTCTGTACTGAAGCATCGAACAGAAGTGCAGAAGCGTGCACATCAACCGGCGCCAGCATGTTGGCACATCGGAAATCGGTAGCTGTACAATGAAGAGCAAACAGCTTGTCCTACAACGGACAAAGACTATGCCAGGAGCAGAGGATCCATAACATTTGGTCAAAAGCGGCTTAATCATACCAAGGTGAGAGACGTCCAAAGATTGCAACGCCCAAAGTAGGGCAAATGAGGAAGGGTTACAGAACATGCATAGTATGGAGGGTGGATTGGGGACAGTCTCCTAGCCTTATGGATGAATTTGATAACCCTACCTGCCAGGGCGTTGGCAACAAGAGATGGAATAAGCGACGGCCGCCAGCAACGAACGTCTGTTTGGCCAGCATAGACGGGTACGGCAATAGTCAAGTTGTCGCTTGTCAACTTCCAACAAGCACGCGGGATGATACGAAGGCATGCCATCTTTGAGGCTCTCCTCGGACTTCGTGATAGTCTTACCACATGTTTGGTATTCGTGGGCTTCATTCCTCTTCCTATGAGCCAACCTCGTTCTGACTACAGAATAACTTACGAGCCGAAGTCCTGGTCAACTCTAGGCCACACAATGCCAGAGCCCAAAAGCTTCATGCATGGTTCTTGCTCATATCATCCAGTCTGCAGCTTCACCACCATTACAGCCAAAGTTTACATCCATAAACACAACTTCCCACTCGCGGTACCTGCCGTCACCCAATCCCTGGTTGGATGGAAGACTGCCACTGCCGGCACAGCCGTTATGCCGCCTCCTCCAAGTTGTGCCAATTGCTTACCATCTGCGCTGTACACATCGACAAACCTGTTCATGTTCCCAATACAGAGCTTCTGGATTCCGTCTTGGGGACTGCGCTGCCACTGCGGGCGGAGACTAGAAGCACAAATGTCAGAATTCACCTTGACGTAGCTCCACCACGCACAATGACTCACATCGTGACCCATCTTCCTGTCTGGTTATTATGCCGTACCACCACCTCTGGCTCCATTCTCTCCTCTTCCAATTGGTATCCGGCTTTCCAGGTACTCATTGCTTCCAGGCCTTCTGTTGGATTCCTCGTTGAATCGATCTTCCCTCTCACTCCGAAACTGTGAATCTTGATGGTGTCGTCATAGCTGCTCGTCGCGACCTGCCCAACTGAATTGAACGCTGCGTGCGAGACGCTAAGGCGAGACGTGTGCTCACCAACCAACGTGGGCAGCTTCTTGCTTATTTTCCGAAGATCCCAGAGCCGCATCGTGCGGTCGAGGGAGGCAGTGGCAAGGTAGTGTGGCACAAGAGGATGCAAAGAGAAGCCACCGATCTTCTTCTCTGAGAGCTGATATAGCTCAGCTCCTTTCTTCCCTTTTATTCTGGTGTCGTGTCTTCCGAAAGCGCCATTTAGAGTCGTGAAGTACAGAACGTGGGGATCTGTGGCAGCCATATCAATACCGGAGATCGGGTCATCATCTAGCGCATAGAGGTCGGTGGATTTGGACTTTTCGAGGTCGAGGCCGCGGATGGAAGAGTCGTATGAGGCGGTGTAAAGAGTTTGGGGCAGTGAAGCGTGTGTATGTATGGCTGAGATTGTTCTCTGGTGCGGTTTCAAGATAGTGACATGAGGATCGGGATCTTCTGCTTCTTCTTCATCTGATTCTGAGGGATCTGAATCTCCAGGGTTGTTGTTTTGCATCGGTTCCTTCTTGATCTTCTTGATTTTCGACTTGTTATCCTCCTCACCTTCTTCGTCTCCTTCATCCTTGGCTCCTGGGCCTTTTTGTGATGCATCGACTATGCCGAGATGGCCCAGCTTATCGCCAGCAAAAACTAACGGCTTCGCTTCTGTGGGATGGAAGCTCATGCAGTAGATGCGCTCTGGAGTGATCTTGATGCGACTCGGCTCCCAAGCATCCCACAGCGCCAGTCCGCTTATCTTTTCCCTGATCGACTTCAGCTCTTTATCCGTTGTTCTCTTGATCTCGTCTTTGCCGAACGTTCGCTCGTATGGTTTTGCAACACTCCTATTTATCACATCCACCGCCAGTAAAGGCTTCCCATTCACAAGGATTTCTCCTAAATCCTGATCACCTGCAATCCGCTGCCTCTTCGCCCGTTCCGCCTCCCTTACGGCTTCATACTCCTGGTCGGCTTTGCGTTTTGCAACTTCACTATCCGCCGTCAAGCCAGCCAGCCGTGAAGAGGTTCGCCGTGGCGCATTGTCTAGTTCCTTCTTGACTGGTTTGACAGGTCTTTGTCTCTTGTGCGACTGACTAGTCCCATTGGCAGTGCTTTTCACAGAGGGTCTGGTGTAGAGACCGGCTTGCTGCGCTTCTTGGGTCAGTTTCTTGAGGAGCGCATCTCGCTCGGCGATATTGGCAAGACGTTGCTTTTCGTAGTCGGAGATTTCGGTGGTGGGAATTGGAGCCCGAGCCATGGCTGTAAATGGAATGTGGTGGAATAAATTGAGGGTTTGATGGTTGAGTGGCGAACCATTCGCACGACACGTCTGGAGCGCGTTGAGTGTTAAGTTAGGTGCTCGCCGTGCAAATCACGCTAGTTACATATGGACTTATGTAGCTAAGTTAATCTAAGAAATAAAGCATGCTGTACGCAATGTGGTCGTGGTCGAGGTCGACGACCAACCACCCTCTCCATTCCTGGCACCCAACAAGTAGAATGGAATGCAGATGCTGAGCTATCATGAAAGCCGTTCAGACCCCGACGTGGCTTCGAGCTGAGGCTTTACAGCATCTCCCCTTCCTGTATTGCACCAGAACCATCCTCGGTGGACGACAGCGAGGGAGAAGACCGCAGGGCTATGGGACCTTTTCCACTGCGACTCACCTGCACCAGATCGAGGATGGAGTCACGGAGAAAGAGGTCCAGATGCTCAAACCCAAAACCCAAGAGGAGCGGGGGAATTACTTTCAGGAGAAACTAGCGCACCAGTCAAAGGAACAGGGAAAACAGCAGGATCAGATGAAGAAGAGTTCGCAGCCCGTAGGGGCAAGCAAGAAACTTGGGAAGGGCAATACTTCCACGATGACGGCAGCAGAGAGGCAGGTCTTCAAAAAGATTTTCCAGGAGATAGCCACTGGCTCTGGACGGGACAAGACAAAGGCGTCTCCATTACCAGAGCAAAAGACACCCTTGTCAACAGACTACCGCGAAATCTTCTCGCTATTCAGCAGTGCCGCCAGTGAAGAAGGGTCAGGTCAGAACAAGAAGGGAGCAGCACAAGCAACCTCCATCGGCGGGCAAAGCTCACCTGCTGGTGGAGGACGGCAGGCAAGTCAAACACTATCAGAGCAGGACCGGGAACATATACAGAAGTATCCTGAACGACTACGAAAGATTGCTTCTCGTGCCACATTATTGGCAAAGGCAGAACCCCAGAACGGAATGTCGAGTTTTGGTCTGAGTCAGGAAATGACTTCGAAAAGTCAGAAGATTAGAAGAATTCGAGGAACACCAGAACGACTTCTTCGCGGCGGAGAGCGAGTTTGCTGAAGCGTCTGCCGTACAAAAGAGACACGTTGATTCCATCTGTGTCGAGCAGATGAAAAACATCTCGGAACAACTCATCGAGGCCGCCAAAGTTGACGATGGACAACTATGGCTTACCTGCGAAAAGTTGGTCTTGCCTTTGCTTGCATTTCTCGAAGAAGATCCTTCCCGACCTTCTACCAATCCAGCAACGGGCTCCTCACCAGCGTATGGTACTGCCACCTCTTCGCAAGGAACCGAACAGCACCTAGCAAGCCCACCCGAACCCGAATACTCCTTCACCATGAACCCTAATGCAAGGCGGCAGCAACGAAACCTCCAAATGAAAGCCCCAAACCAACCTCGCATCGAGCCCTCCACCTCCACCTCCACCTCCACCAGCAAAACCAATCCTACAACCCCCTTTCACATCCCCCCCACCATCCCCTCCCTCCCCATAATCTCCACCCTCTACCCAGCGCTCCTCCTCCTAACCCTCCGCCTCCTAACGACGCACTACCCTCTCTCCCACTACCCCTCCACCCTCCTCCCCCGCATCCGCTCCCTAGGCCTCCGCTCCTATGTGCTAGGAACCAGCACCCAACTGTACAACACCCTCCTCCTGCACCGGTGGAGCGTGTATTCGGACCTGCCAACCATGGACCGGCTCCTGCACGAGATGGAGCGCGGCGGCATCGACTTCGACGCCGAGACCATCAGCATCATCGAGCGGGTGCGGCAGGCGAAAATGCAGGACGAGGCCGCGGCGCGCAGGCGGCGGTCGACGAGCGGAAGTGGAAGGCCGAGGCGATGAGCAAACTGCAAGGCTTGAGCAGGAAGGCCAGGTCGAAGATATTGATGAAGAAAGGCCCCTTGGGCGGCCAGGCGGAGGGTGCCAGTGCCGGGAAACGCGCTACCGCGTGGTGGGAGGCTGAGGTGACGCTGAAGTGGTTTGAGAGGATTACCGCCACGGAGGGGTGGAGGCGGGTGAGGGAGCGGAGGGTCGGTGGGGCGGAGGCGGTGGTGGAGAGGGAGTATGCCGGTAGTATTGCTGGTGGCGAGGTGGAGATGGAACCGAGGGTGATGCTGGGGTAGGATATCAGATAGGGCACAGCGGGAGAACATTGTAATCACGCGAATCCGTCGCTATGGATCGAAGACTAGTGATTCTATCTACCGTGCTTCATGCCTGCCTACCTACCCACCCACCCACTTTCTAGCCCCCTCTATTCAGCCCCGTACGTATCCACATGTACAACAACAGCAGCATTTCCTTGCCCCCCCCTCCCATCCTGCAACAGAATCACGGATCCAACGAATTGACCAAGCGTCTCTGGTCCCGCAGGTCCTTGAGTTTCCTCAACGCCTCGTCGAGCGGCACCATGGCCCCCAGTTTCTGCGTGGTCGGATCATCGCGGTTTCGGATGTTGAGGGTGCGGGAACGCTGTTCTTCCGCTCCCACCACTGCGCGCGAACGGAGAGAAAAAACGGGTTAGCTCCATGCTCTGCAAGGGCAGCGTCGGCGCGTGTGAGGAAGGGAGGGCTTTCGGCGTGCTGATTGATGGAGATAGAGAGAAAGAGAAAGAGAGAGAGAGGGATAAGGGGGGCAGGAAGAGTGCGAAAGAAGCAAGAAGGGGGAAGAGGGTGGGTTGGTTTTGAGAAACTCACCGAAGATGAAATTATAGCCGACCAGCTGTCCGGTGCGGATCTTCTTCTGCAGCGTGTTGCCGCTGAGGTCGACGTCGACGTACATGCGGGCGCGGTGGAAGATGGATTGGATCTCGCGCACGTAGTCCTCGGCGCCCTTCATGACCGGCACCACGAGGATCTGGCGCGGCGAGAGCCAGAAGGGCCATTTGCCGGCGAAGTGCTCAGTGAGGATGGCGATGAAGCGCTCGAAGGAGCCGATGATGGCGCGGTGGATCATCACCGGCCGGGCGCGGCCGGGCGCGAGTGTGTCCCGGCTGGTGGTGGATGGTTCCTTTTCATTCGGGGCTTGGGATTCGTTTTCACCGTTGGCGGCTGGCTTGCTGGTGCTGGAGTCGGGCTTTTCGTTGTCGACGGCGGCAGCAGGAGCAGCAGCAGCGACTTTGTGGCCGCCTGAATCGCCGGTCATGTATTCGAGTTTGAAGTTCTGAGGGAGCTGGAAGTCGAGCTGGATGGTCGCGCACTGGTATTCACGATGCAGAGCGTCAGAGATAGTAATATCTATCTTGGGGCCGTAGAAGGCGCCATCACCCTCGTTAAGTTCCCAGTCGTTGCCGCGGAATTTCTTCAGGGCTTCGCGCAGCTGGTCTTCGGCCGCGTTCCAGGTCTCAAGACTGCCCATGTAGCCTTCTGGTCGGGTGGAGAGCTTGAGTTTGAAGGGGAATCCGAATAGGCCGTAGACGAAGGAGAGAAAGTCGAACAGTGCTTCGATCTCTTGCGTGATTTGGTCTTGGGTGCAGAAAATGTGGGTGTCGTCCTGTTGGAACTTTCGCACTCTGGTTAAGCCGGTGAGAGCGCCGGACGCTTCGTTGCGATGGAGAACGCCGAAGTCGGCTACTCGCCACGGTAGTTCGCGGTATGAGCGCTCTTCGTTTCGAAACAAGAGACAGTGACCTGGACAATTCATTGGCTTGAGGCCGAAAGTGTCTTTGTCTTGGTCCACTTCTATAGCTTTAGCTCCAGGTACAGTGGGCTGAACTTTGGCATCTGCGGAGGCGTGTTCCTTGACATGGACTTTGAACATGTTGTCCTGATAGTGGTCCCAATGACCGGATGTCTTCCAGAGCTCCACGTTGTACATGTTTGGAGACTGCACTTCTTGGTAACCTCGATCCCAGTAAGCCTCGCGGAGCATGTTTTGCAAGGCGTTGAATATGCGAGTGCCATGGGGCAGCAAGAATGGTGAGCCAGGGGAAAGCTGACTGAACATGAACAGCTTTTGATTCTTGCCAATCTCCTGGTGGTCTCGCTTCTTGGCTTCTTCCAGGTAATGCTCCCATTGCTTCAGTTCCTCCTTTTTGCCAAAAGCCACGCCATGTATCCTCTGGAGAGAATCATTGCTCTGGTCGCCTAGGAAATATGCGGATGAGTTCTTCATGATCTTGAAAGCTTCGATCTTCTTAGTATTCTGGATGTGAGGGCCTGCACATAGATCCACAAGTGTTCCATTTCGGTATACTGTGCTGCTTTCGCCATCCGCAACAAACTTTTCGATGTAATGCATCTTGTATTTGCTGTATCCGAACATCTTGCGCAGGTTGTCTTTCGAGACCTCCAACCGTTCAAATGGCTGCTTCTCTTTGAAGAACTTTTTGGCCTTGGCCTCGATAGATGGCCATTCAGACTCTTTCACAGCCCGCCCTTCTTCCAAAGCCATATCGTAGAAGAACCCCATCGCCGTCGGAGGGCCATGAGACAGTCGACATCCATACTCATGCTCTGCAGCTTCCCCCAGTACATGAGCAGAGGAGTGCCAAAAGACATCACGGCCTTCTTTGTCCTTAAATGTCAGATACGAAACCTTACTGTCCTGCTCGAGGGGTCTGTCGAGATCCCAGAGCTTTCCATCAACTTTGGCAATGACAATCTCAGCAGCAACGTCCTTTGGAAGATGCTTGAGGAGCTGGCCTGGCGTGGTCTCCCAAGCCTTCCCAATGAGTATTGAATCCTCAACAGAACCAGGACTGAGAGTAATCTTGATCTCTGGTTTGGGTCTTGTTGAAAGTTCTTCATCGTACTTCTTCTTGAGCTCATCGAAGAATTGGTTTCGTTCCAGCACGAAATCTGGTAGTGGAATGACTGCAGGGGGTGCGCCTTTTGGTGCTGCTTGTGTGTGTATCTGCTTCGATTTCCCTGCATCACCTTTGCCTTTCGCAGGGTTTGGAGTGCCTTTGGACCTCGGACTTTTTGGTGATGGTGAGCCAATAGGGGCAGCAATTCCAGCCTCAGTGAGCTTCACTTCCGCCATTTTTGGCGGTAAATCCACAGCATCAAGACTCTGTCCGTCCGGCTGACTCATCTTGAGTATCCTACCAATTCTATGTGAACATAGACAACTGAAAGGTACATATCCCTTTCTCAGTTTTGAGGTGTTGTGGTGAGTCACGTGCGACCAAGTGTCAAAAAGTATTTTCCTGCATGGAGCTCGGAACATAAGGTTGCCCACACAAACGACAAATCCCAGGAAGCTTCACCGAGACGGGCAATGTCGTCGCGCGGAGGTTTTCGAGGTCGTGGAGGTTCTGCTGGTGGTGGAAGGGGAGGAGGAAGCTTTGGCAATCGCGGAGGTTCAAACAAGCTCGCTCCCCACATTGTCGCAAACCTAACGAAAGGTGTACAACAGGGCGTGGAAACTTTCAACAAAGCTATGGACCACCGGCGCAGGTTCTAGGTGATGTTACTGGCGCGAATGCCTGGTTGTGGTGGCTGATATCGTCTAGAAATGGGGTCCTTCCTCCATGCATGCGAAGGTGATATCGTCTGCGAATCGAACAACGCAAAAATCCCCTACTTCAACGCCCCAATCTACCTAGAAAACAAAGTGAGAATAGTCGCACGTTGAAAAGCTGAAGGTCTTCTTCTAACAGGGATGTCAGACCTCAATTGGGAAGGTGGACGAGATTCTAGGGCCTATCAACCAAGTCTATTTCACGATCAAACCGCAAGAAGGCATACAAGCGACCTCTTTCAAGAGCGGAGACAAGTTCTACATCGGAGGCGATAAGCTATTACCCCTAGAGAAGTTTGTTTCATGAATGCCCTCGAGAGCGCCAGGTGCTGAACCATGAACTAGATTCCTACCAAAGCCGATACCTCCACCCGGTACGACCACCTCATTAGCCACCATGTTTAATCTACTAACCAGCATGAAACAGGAGCCGCGAGAGTAAAGAAACCTGGTGGTGCCGGACGAGGCGGTGCGCGAGGCAGAGCAGCTCCTCGTGGACGTGGATTTGGCAGGGGTGCACCAAGAGGTCGAGGCGGGTTTGGAGACCGTGGCAGAGGTCGAGGAGCTGGCGGATCGTTTTCGGGTGGAAGGGGAGGATCAAGGGGTGGCTTCAGCTCCAGAGGAAGTGGCTTTAGAGGGAGAGGCTGAGAGCATATTCTACATGCCTGCATTTCGAGGAGTTTGGCGGCTACCAAGAGAGCGCAATAAAGTACTTGCAGACCCGGTTTTCAGTAACCAAGTCTGCAGAGGCGTTCAGAATAACTCTGAAGTTATCAATGCGCCCTCAGCCATTCACAAAGTCCACCTACGTAGTAGTGTGAAATCTACGGAGTACAGCCGTTGGAATGGATGTGAGTGATAGTTAAGCTTTAGCTATGACAGCCCATGCGGGATGACGACACAGGCCCTGTTTCCTTTGTGATCGGCTTACTACGTAAACCATCTGCAGTACTGCAGCAGGTTCTTGCCATACACCACTCCAACACCATTTATTTTCCTGGAATTATCGTAGTGATTGATTCATCTACAGTCGCCGAAGCTTTGCGTATATCTTCCACTTCCAGGCCACTTGACCGCCACTAGAAACACTCCCGGCCCTTAGGATGTCTCGCAGATCAGGCGTAACCAGCGTCGGTACCCAAAATGATTCTTCGAGACCCGACCAGGGTAAGCTTGGAATATATCGATCGCTGGGCCTGCATTGACTCGCCTGTACAGCCCAGGAGAAGCAGAAAATGCTTCTCGCCGCAGATACAGGCCACTTCAGTATGATGAAGTGGGTGCAATGTCGGATATCCTTGAGAGAAGGATTCCTGACCTGTCCTCTTTAGAGCCCTGCATCTTGCGGACCTGATCACCGAGATGAATGGTAAGCTTTGCTGCGTCGCGTACAAACCTCAATGACTGACTACATATAGGTTTTTGTGGCTGTGTGTACACCCTCTAAGGAACAAATTTCTCTGCTGACTGCCCCGAGTCATGTCTCTTCTATCCTCGATGAGGTACCTCCTCAGCGACCAAAACGATCACACCAATTTGTGGCTTGCACTAGGGTTCATGCCGTTCGGCCTGTTCTTCGACTTCTTCGATGGCAAGGTTGCGAGATGGAGACATAAATCATCATTAATGGGCCAGGAGTTGGATTCGCTAGCAGATCTCGTGGGTGCTGCGCAGCGTCCCACCATACAGTACTGACAACGGATCAGGTTTCTTTCGGCGTCTCCCCTGCAGCGGTCGCCTTCGCAATGGGGTTTCGAACACCCCTCGACCAGGTCATACTCTCGTTCTACGTGCTGTGCGGCTTAACGCGCCTGGCCAGGTTCAATGTCACCGTCGCGGTTCTCCCTAAGGACCACACCGGAAAATCTAAATACTTCGAAGGTATACCTATACCCTTTGCGTGCCTCACGATTGCTTCGATGCTGGCGGTCAATGTCTCGCAAGGCTGGATTCTTGACAGCATACCGCTTGGAGTTGCTCTGAAGGGTACACCATTAGAGTTCCACCCGTCTGTTGCAGCCTTTTTGATGAATGGATGCTTGATGGTCAGCAAGACACTGCACATACCGAAACCTTGATCGGTCTGTATTGTGGTTTTGAGGCTTGGCTTAGATATTCAAAAGTTACATCTCCTTAGCGGCAAATGGCATGTCGGTTCTGATAAGCAATGACGTGCTAATATCTCTCTACTCCAATTCAAATCAACTTTGATAATTATTGTGTATATTTTTGCTACCTCGCGGCCAACTAGGAATCGATCCAAATGCGATTGCCACGAGTACTACTACTGTGACATTGATATTGCACATCACAATCTCGCTTCCAGGCAGCCATGTGTCTGTATGTTTGGGTATGTATTCAAACTCAATTGTGTTGAGAAGATGACGCCGTACCCCTTTTTTACGGGCCTGGAGAGCAAACGACGGCATCGAGTTCATTGGACGAGGCTAGATGACACAGCACGATTATTGTCATGTTAGCCTGATGCATGTCTTGTTCGAAAACCATGGTTCACTCGCTCCAAGTACATGTCACTTATAATTGGCTGGCTAGCAATTTTGCCCAAATGCTCACTATTAAGGTAGATATCTTGGTAGTACCCTTATCATCGGCCTGATTGACAAGGTATCTTGATACTGAGTACTCCGTATAGAGGGCTGTACTGCATGTTTAGGAACCATCATCGTCATTAATCGTTTGAACAGAGGATTGATCTGCCACCCGCTGGATTGGCTGGTCCAGCTGGACCGACTTGGCATGTTTCGGGCAGTGATTGGCGTGTAGCGTGAACTATATCAAGGAATCAGTATGTGGCCAGGATCAGACTGGGCATGTGCCGCGCCTCACATCTTAGCAAAGGCAATTGTGCCGAAACAATCACATTCTCGCTTGTGCTAGGTACTACGTAGAAGCTTGAGTGTCCACGGCCCATGGGCATGGGAATGGGAATGGTACCCCATAGCCCTTCAAGACGAGGAGCTCAAACATGTAACTTACTACGTAGTCTATTATAAGTGCCCTTGGTAGGCTAGGTAGCCACCCACAGGTGGCAATGTCGGATCTTGCCCGCATATGCACCGACGTTGGAGTGACCTGCGTAGTAGTTAGCTTGCAGCTAAATGTCACACTACGTAGTATGTAGTAGTTAAGCTTCTCGGGCTTGGTACTGTGCAATTTCCGCGGCTCGGCCCCAGTCCAGGTCGCCAGCTCCTGAAAACGAAAAGGAAAAGGAAAATCTGATCTAACCAGATGTGATGACTGTTCCATCCACAGTCTGTCCCGCGCCTCTCGTACTCGTTCTCTCCCTTCAGAGACTCGACTTCATCCTCCGCTCTGCTGGCGGCTTCCATCACACTCGTTTCTACATCCTGCTGCAACAGATTGTGAATTTGACTCTTTGTTGCGGGCGGTACTTGTTTCACCACACTCGCTTACCAGCAGTCTCGTCTTTACCCCGTCACACAGAACAAAGGGGCACTGACCTGCTGATTTCGATACCCATCAGCATTCTCAAACTGATGACAACAAAGTTCCATCACTCTTTTCCCGCAAGACGTATTCACTGACATACCATCGATCTTTGGCAAGTCACGTCACCAAGAGAAGCTTGAACTCTTCTTTACATTGAGCTACGGATCACGGATCTCTTAAGTAGGCGGGGAAAACACATAAGTCCGACAGCAAACACAGCTGGCATTTGGTGGCACCCCATTGCAACTCAGGCCAGGGTAGTTGAACCGGCAGGCCAGACCAATTCTAAAGGTCATAGAATTCGATCAAGATCGTGCTTCTGACGATCACTTCGACCACTCTTCATCCCGATTCGTCCTCTACAGCGTCCCTACGCGTGGCCACAACCTTTCATCCTCTCTCCTCCACCCAAGTTGGCACAACCTCTGCGTAAGCTTTCCGGCTCCTAGCTCATTTGAGCCTTTCCCTCCATCAATCTCAACAGCTGCTCCCAGTCGTCTCCCTCAAAATGCATATTACCTCTTTTGCTGCCTTAATGGCAGTATCAACAACCATGTTTGGAAGGCCAGCCTGGGCTGATGTGCAGTACAACACAACTACATATGTGGGATGTTATTCATCAGCAGGTGACTTGAGCAGGAGTGATTCGTTTACATACCAATCGAGCGGCCACTGTCAAGAACAATGCATTCCAAAATCAGGACAGAATCCCCAAGCAGTGATGGGTCTTAACAGAGGTTCAGACTGTTGGTGTGGTTCTGCTTTACCACCCGAGAGCGACAAGGTCGACGATTCCCAATGTAGCTCACCTTGCACAGGCTATGGCGAGGCCAAATGTGGTGGAAACAATGCCTACTCGGTTTACTTGACTGGCTATGATAACAGTGTTGGCAGCGCTGCAGGCTCCAGCTCTAGCGACAGCAACAGTGATGGATCTGGCGGGGAGTCCGGTGTTGGTGGAGGCAGCTCAGCCACAGCTAATTCACCTCCATCATCACCAACACAAATGGGTTCGCCGACCGTTTCCCAAGCGCCCTCGGTCATCACCAAAGCAGGAGAAACAATCGTCGTCACAGCCCCTGGCCAAGTTGACGCCACGAGCCAGGCATCTACAGGAAGCAATGGTGGGTCAAGCAAAATCGGTATCGCTGTCGGGGTTGTGGTGGGAGCCATCGTTCTTTGCGCCCTCCTTGGTGGCGGTTTCTTCTTCATTCGACATCGCAACAGGAAGGCCGTTGAGGAGAAGTACCGTCGAACTCAAGCAATCGATAGTTTTGTCACCAGCGATAAGACTCACAGTAAAGGTGGCTCGATTTCTGATCAACGACTAGACCCCTCTCTGGTGCACCACCGCAGACAGAGTGATGGCAGCATCGCAGACGAGATGGACTTCTCAAGAAGAATACTCCAAGTACGTTCCCACTATGGAATGTCTGGTGGACTTCATGCTGACCCTAGATTAGGTACGGAATCCTGATGGTGTCTAATACACTCCCACATGATTTTACACTTCGCTCCTCAGCTTTGTCACCAAGATTCCTGCTCTTGCTGCGACCAAGCACGACGACTTCATAAGCCTGGAAAGCTATGCACAGCGAGTATGGCTTCGGCGTTTTTGGGTATGAGTTCCAGCGAGTTGTTAACACGGCGTATCGAAAATGCATACATACTGCTTTGAGCCCACACATTTGGGAGGTCTTAATGGAGTCGAACAAGCGGATTTGACCTCCACCATCATCCTCCTTCCAACCATCGTGCGTCACACCGACCCCCAACATCAACATCAATCCCATCCCCCTCTGCCGCCTCTCCTTACGATCAAATATGAGCAAAAACCTTGCCCAGCTAGCACCAACGCCTTTTTCCAGTCCATCACGCTTTCATCTCCCAACAAGGTACGGGCTAGTCGGAATGTTGTTTGGAATTGGTGAAGGAACTAATGCGAGTGCATGCTTTTCCCAAGGGAAAGCACGTGGTCGAAGATGCAGACATGTACACTACCACGAAGGAACAGAGCTTCGTTGCGGGAAGGATTTAAACCCTCCTAGCATCCATCTCCTGCTTGTCTTGATAGGCTCTGTGAAATTTGTCTAACCAGCCCACTTCGATTGCCTGCCGACGACTCTTCACGCTGGCAGCTATTGGCATCTTGGTCCCTTATACCTCACCTCCCTCCCTATCCGACCCTCCCATAAAACTCAACCTACACCCCAACCAGCACCACCAACCTAGATCTCCAATTCCATCAACCTCCCTCACCTGACCTAGCCTAACCTAACCCATCTTCTCAAACTCCTCTCACTTCCCTCCCTTCCCCTCAAAGAACCCTCTCAAACCCTCCTCCACCCCCGCCCACTCCCTCCTCCCCGTCGTCGTATCACCGACATCACCACCACCACCACCACCATCATCCATAACAGCACGAATCCAACCAGGCAACTTCCCCCTCACCCTGCCCCCCTCCCTCTCCCACCTCCGATCCACCAGCAGAATGGCGGCGTAATCATTCCGATGCCGGATCGCGCGCCCGACGGCCTGGTTGACGGTGCGCAGCGTCGTGTTCTCGTAGTACTCGCGGCTGGCGCGCTTGCTCGCTGCCACTGACGCAGCCT